AAGGAGTCGGGGGTGGTTCTTACTTAGGCAGGTTTTTATCAATTATAAGATATTGAATTTTTGTGGACACAACCCATTCGGATAAATTAATATATTCGCTTTCCCAAAAGGCAATTTACTTTTTAAAAAATTTTTTTGTTCCTTTAAAGGATCCCCTTCTGAATTTCCCGATGTATCCACATTATCAATGAGGAATCTCTTGGCAAAAAGTAAACGGCTACTTTCAATAATTTTTGGGGCCCAAACTTAATTGTTCTCCTTTGTTGGAGTTTTTTGGGATTCGTTTTCAAATGAATTGATTAAGGGAAAATTTTAATTTGTTAAACTATAGGGGCCCAGAGAAATAAGGTACCATTAAAATTGAAATGAGTTTTTCAATGTGATGGAAGATTTATCAAATTGAAAGAAGAAAATTGAACTTGGTAGCATTCTGGACAGTGGTGGACGATGGCGCGTACGCTCTTGAGGAGCGTTGTACTGATAAATATCTCTGCCAAATGAAGAAGGAGCGCTTTGCACTAATAATATGGTTTCAGAAGGTAGCAGAAGAAAGAAGTTGGTCTTAAATTTGTAAGAATTTTGTCCATTGTGTGGTCCCGAAAAACTGATCGTGGAGGAGGGAACCCGCTAGAGTGCTTTGAACGTTGTCGGTCGTTTCCGAAGTAGAATGGGGAAGGTATACGACGGAAGTCATTCATCACAGGAGATTGACGATTGGAGTTAGGGAGTAGGGACGAGTTTGGGGTCTCCGGCATGAATGGGTGTTGGGAGATTCGGAATATTGCCGCGTACGTAGAGGGAGAAGCCGGATGCAATAGTCAGAGACGAGAGCGGAGTTAATTAAGTTTGAGAGTTTTCAGAAAAATCGAAGGACTGTCAAGTCAAAGCCTCCGGCGTACATGAAGCGGGTGACCGAGGTGAGTCGGGGGGCGGCTGCCAAAGCTTGGAAGCAGGGATAGGGCGAAGCGAATGGGCGGGGTCGGAGGCTTGGTGGGCGGGATGGGTGGGTGATGAGTGGCGTGATAGGGGTAGGAAAGGTGGCTTAGGAAGCGGGCGGGGGGAAGATTGTCTACGGGAACGAAAAGCACATGTCAGACGGCAGGCGGAAACCAAGACACCAGCAAGAGGTAAAGGGGATCAGGAGTGTCCGAGGTGGTCTAAAACCAAAGGCAGGGTCAGAAGGAATGGGCGCTGCGGTATAAGAAGGGGCCGGTGGTAGTGGTTTCATGGACTAGGGCGTCATGGTTAGGTTATCCTTTGCTTTTTGTTTTTTTTTAGGAAAAAAAACAGAAAGAAGAAAAGAAAAATAAAACAAAAAAAAAAGAATAAAAAAAAGTGCGGGGAGTGGGAAGCGGGGAGGGGGCGCGAATAGTTCCCAGGAGAAATGTAAATTGAAAGGGCCTGAAATCTCCCTCCGCCCCAAGAAGGGACTCGGACACGCTAGTAGCGCAGATTGCAGCATGGAAACCCGTGCCATATGCCCATACCCCTACCCTCTCATGCAAGTTAAACCAGCAATCAGGATAGCAACCTCACATCTAGCCGAGACTACCTACGGTGGACAAAGCAAAGATGAGGGCGGCGGATAGCCGCCTCAAAGCATTAACTCCTTCAGGCTCACACCACCCCCGGAATCCGAAAGGTGGCTTCCAGAGATAAACCCGTCGCCAAAAGGGAACACCTCAAACCTACTCGGGCTTACCGGAGGAGAGGGATCGGGACATCCCTAGGCATCATGATTCAACGGCAAACTAGCCACCGCCAAGAAAACTCAATCGGAAAATGGATCGACCCCGGGTGTCCATTTCCCCTACCTAGGAAACCCCGGTATGTGTTCCTTTCCCTACTAGGAACTAAACTAGCGCGCCTGTGTGGGAAGAATCACGAAGGCTAATAAAAAGCCAGGTATGGGCAAAAGGGAGGAGTTGAGGAAGGAGCGAGGAGGAGGAGGAATGGAATAAAAAAAGGGGAGGATGGGGGAGGATGGATAGGGGGAGGGGGGAGAGAATGGGGGGTAATTGGTTCTGTTTTCTGAGGAAAAGGAAGACCGACAGGGCTATTTCCTCGCCAAAGAGGCCCGAAGAAAGGAAGACCGCCAGAGCTAATTCCTCAGACAAGAGGACGGCCTCTTCACCCCACGCCAAGGAGCCCACCTTGAAGTCCCGGGTTACCATCCTAGATATCCCATTTTAAGATGCAAATACTATTCACATATTCCAAAACTTGAAAACTTCCAGGGACCCAGGAATATCGGAATTGATAAGGGAATTCTCAACTCTGTAAATAGTAATAATTAATATCAAAATATAATTATTAATCATTCTCAGAATTTGAGCTGTGGTCATGATGAGCTATGGAAAAAGATGGAAAAAAATTACCATACCTCTCAAATAAGAGAAAAAATGATTGCACAATACAAAATTTTCAAATTGGTTTGCACAAGAAACTGGTCTGTGCAGAACTATATAAAACCTCTCATATCAATTATGATATGCTCTGAAAATTTAAGTCAAAATGCTTAATTATAATCCTAGTGGAGATTATCTAGTTTTCAGTAGTTGTATAAGTCTCTCCCGTGCTGAAATTCAAATAATTCAGGAGGAGATTCAATTATATAGACATGTACAATTCATCTAAAGTTTAAAAAAAAAAAAAAAAATAATTCTAATGTTCATTGGGAACTTATATTTTCATATGTTGTCTTCAAAGCAAGCCTGATTATCTGATTATAAGGTAAATTTGTAGAGAGAAAGTGTGCTTAAATGCTTGCAAACATACTGCAACAGGAAAGATTATAAAAAGCTTGCTAAAATTCAAAAAAATTTCATTCAATAAAAATAGTGATACCTTTTAACAATATACTGTACAAGGTTATGAATAATTTTTCTTTTAAATTGTATCTTATGCTACAATATTAACATTTTTAATAGTTTCACTACTATTAAAACATATATTCTCTTCTGAATTTTTGTTATCTTTTAGAAACTACTGTATTACACTAAACAATAAGGAAATACAGTATAACAGCACCAAATCAAAGTTCAGGGATAATGCAGTAATGGATTTTTCAATTTAATACTTCTGTGTAGAGTAAATTGTAGCTAGTAACACCACCAATGGTACCTGGATCGAGTTGTGTTCAGTAAGAGGTGATACTAAAATAAGATTGATAAAAAGTAAGATACAGTTGGAGAGCCAATCAAAATATAAACTGCCAAATAAATGTTTTATAGTAAGTCATCAGTGAAATAAGCTAAGGAAAGGCTGTTGCAGTATTAGACTTTTTGTAGAGACACAGTACTGCAAAAAAATATAAAGTGAATATCTGAATGAAATACTTGAATTGAACATCACTTTTAAATATGGTTGTAAAGTAATGACATACACAGTATGGTATCTGAGTTGCAGTTGCCATTGCTTGGTTCAAGTGATGGTTGAGGCAGGGCATTTCAAACCTACAAACCATACTTCATATGTCAAACTAATAACTTCAAAGTGTCAATCTGACATATATAGTACAGTATGTAGGTATGAGATGTCCTGCCTCAACTATGGCAGCATATGACCCAGCCTATGTTGCATGCTTCACACATGTAGTATGCTGGGTATATTTGGGTTGCTCCTCAAACCATTTACTATGCCACATGACCTAAACCATTACAGCAGTTAAATGGGTAGCACTGTGTGCAGATGTTTCATCAACGTTTACAGAACAGGTTAATAGTGTAAAGTTAGTCATCCAATCAGAATTCACAACAATGAAGCCAAAAGTATGTGATCGTGGTTGGCATAATGAGGTACAGAAGTGATAATTTTGAATGAAAACTATAGCAAATGAGAGAATAAACAAGCCTACACAGTATATAAATGAAAGTGTCTTACTATTGAGGCAGCCTTTCTGCATGGTTTTACAATAAATGACCTGTTATTAATAAGTTACTAAGATAGTGAACAATTTATGATTGGGTACGAGACTTTATTCCTTCATCCCTCTTTTGGAGATAAAAACCTATTACTGGGTATATGTACTGTACTTACTCATGTGATGTATGCTATTTCCTAATGCTCGAGAAAGTATTAAGCTCAGTTTATGTCAAAATAAATACCACCATCATTACTTTTGAATCCCTCTTCTTCAGAAGCTTCAGGAAAATATTATCTTATTTAAACTGGGGTGATCAAACTAAATAAGTGCTAACTTATGAAGGAATATATAAATATGCTCACAATTACTAAGAGCCTTATTTATATTCTCCAAACAATCCTGCTATCTGCAATGATTAGGTCAGTAAAAAAAAAATGCATTAATGTTACAATTCATATTCATCTGAATTTTTTGGTACAGCAACTATTAGTTTAAAATTAAAAGAATTCTGCAACCTACCAAAGATGTATTATGATTCATTAATAGTAGCAGCCTAAGTTTGCCTAAATATGATTAATATGGAGAGTAAAGAGTATTATATGGTATTTCTTAGCTACCATGTTTTCTTATTAAAATACTTACACTCCAAGATTAGACAATAATATCACAGCAAATTACAACAATCTAAAATCACAATGCCACCAATGGAAACTGAATATATTTCTACTAAGCCTCAAAAGTTCCAGTATGTGGCATTTTCTTCAAAACAAAAACAAAACAGAAGCATAAATATTCAAGTGAAAAATGTACAATATGCATTTATGAGCAGTAGGAAAGTCAGAAATAAGAGCAAAAATTTATATTTTTGTGGTAAATAAATTATTATAAGCAATTAGTCCAGCTCTCAATTTGAAGGTAATCACCTCTGATACAGTGCTGTACAGGTCACCCTCACTTAATATGAATTCACCTTATGAGAATCTGGTTATGCAATATCCCATTTGTATCAGCAGTTCTGTATATGCATTTGCCACATATGAACAATGTAGGTAAAAAAAGGCATTAAAGATTTTTTTTTTTTTTTAGCACATCAGTCATCTCCCACTGAGGCACAGTAACCCCCCTGCTTCCCCCCCCCCCAAAAAAAAAATCATCATCATTAGTCTTACAATTCAGAATTAAGTGTTGATGGCCAGACTGAGCTTAGTATAACTGCCATAGGCCTAGAATGCATAAAATGAGGGACACCTGTATATATGAGTGAAATTTTATGAACTGTTAATTGATAACTATCTTGGCAATTATCAAACCTTCACTAAAGAAATTAGCTTTTCTTAAAAGATTCATGCTACCATATGAGAGGTACGTCGACGGAGATGGAAAGGTCTGGAGGCAGGAGGGTAGATGCGAGACATTAAGCACAAAGCAGAACCCAAAGCCAAACGATGAGTTGGTCCATCTCCCTGGCACATAGTACTGCCAATGCCTCCACCAGGCAACTGAACCATTACAGTTAGTACTGCTGCTACTCCATCATCCGTTGGCTCAACTGCTAGAGGGCCAACATCAAAGCCATCTCCAAACCGATCCTTTTTGGTTGCACGTTTCCGCCTACCTGGAGACCAAGGAGTAGGGTCTGGTGGCATATCCAGGGCATCCTGGTTAAATTCATCTTCTGCATGCAGCACTAATGTTGTGATTGCAAATGGCCGCTTTGCCATGTGTAACATCTCCACTACATGACGTCTTCTGGCCCGTCTTAAGTCTACACCCTGTTTGATTTTCCAAACTACAACACATACAGCAAGAAACAAGAAAAAGCAAGAAAAAAACACAGAAAAGAAGACAAACAGATCAATTCTTGGCTGATCTTGGCGGAAAAAGATAGAACCAAAGGTATCTGTCGCCTTTTCATTTCCAATACCATATACAATGACATAAAATTTTGCAGATCGCAAATCATGCTGATGCTGAGGAAGTGTGATTACTAATCTGTTAGTCACATTTCTCACAATTAATATATCATTAGATCTTGATACTGTTGCAAATGTTTTCAGTCCTTCAGCAACTTTTTTAATAAGATGATATTCTGAAAGTGGTGGCTGTGTTGTATTTGCAACCGATTCCTTTATTGGGGACATAGCATAGCTGCTAATATCATATAGATCAAAACCACTACCCACAAAATTCCTCTTCAGAGGTGTAGCATACATAATGGGTCCTGTTTCTTCAACTATTGGATAGTTAATGTCAATTTCTACCTGTTGTCGGCCTGTAGTTTGGTTAACTGTGACAACAAATGTGTCTTCCCTGGTGCTGAAGTAAACATCTGCACCACCTTTTGTTACATCTAGAATTAATCTAATATTCACATTCATGAACTTTGGCTGAACAGCAAAAAACACTGTTTGGCCTTGGCTAAGGGTACCAGGTTTTGTGTCGCAACCAGTCTGATCACGAGGATCTAGACAATATTCTTTTTCTACAGTCATTTGCCTGTAACACTGATGACCATTACTAGGATTCCCCAAATAAGATTCTTTACATTTAGCACACTGTTGTTGCCAACAATATTTATCCTCTTCCTTCTCAGTACTGACTCCTCTTGTCTTGCCACTGCCTGTACACTGAGTGTCTGTATTATTACCACATTCACATTCTGTACCCCAAACAGGGTTACAGATTGTACCATGGCCATTACACTGACAAGGGCGGCATGGATGACGCATATCTTCTACACCTCGAAAATAGCCTGATAAACAGCTATCACACTTTGAACCTGTAGTATTGTTGGCACAGGCAACACATACTGCATCAGTTCTGGCACCTTCTGTTATTTTTAATACATTTATCATGTCTGACATTGCAACTAAAGGAAGTGTCAAGTTGTATTTAGCCACCACTTCTCGAGGGATGCAACTATTGGCATGCATGTTACAATATTCAAAACAACTTATACACTGCCCACTGTTCCGAGGATCACCCACAAAGAAGGGCTTACATTTTTCACATTGATTACCCATCGTGTTATTAAAACATTCCAAGCATACTTCTAATTTATCTGGACCTTCACAATTTGCATGACCATTGCAATTACATTTAATTGAGCAGTTGGTGCCTACGTAGCCAAAATTACATGTGCAATTATGAGGTTCGATGCAAACCCCAAAAACACATCCCTGGGAGCAAAGTGGAACACAATCTCCATTTTCCGTCATGTTGTACCCAGGAGCACATTCACACGCATATCCCTTAAAACGATCTACACATGACTGACTTCTGTCATCACAGGTGTGATGCATATTTCTACACTCATCCTCTGGAGGGCAAGTATCATAATGCCAAGAGAGAGACGGCAAAACATTCCTACTTGCATCAGGATATAATCGAGCATGTTGGCGAAGGCGATGAAGATCAGTGACAGAGGCATTGGAGAGAATATCAGAATAGTCAAGGTCATGGCAGGTGCCAATGTCAGGGCCTTCTAGCAAGCCTTCAACACACTTACCTAATCCTCCCACCTCTGTTTCTATGGCACACCATCCACAGTGTGGTTGACTCAAACAATGAGAACACTGTGTAAAGTTTTCACATGGACGTGGGCATTTTTCTTCTCCACCTGTCAAAATACGACCACAAGTTCCACCTAAGCAGCGCAAAGCTATATAGCTGGGTCCAAGGCATTCTTTTAGTGATGGTGACCAGTTGCATTGCTGCCAGCCACCTTCAGCTCCCTTAGCACTTAAACAGTCATAACAACTGGTATGAAAATGGCATCGAACAGGACACTGATTGGGAGGGGAAGATTCCACAACATGTGATGAGTGCCGCTGAATCATACTTTTAACACAATTCCAGTTATAAATTTGCATAGCATGAAGGGTGTAACCCAACTCTGAAGAACGAAGAACTTGTTGTGTCCAAATACACTTACGGAGACTTCCACATTTGTCGCAATCAGAAGCAACACAGGTACCCCCGTGGCATTTATCAGACTCTGTAATTATATAACGTCCAGACCCACTATCATCTCTTGCTTGAGAATCGCAAAGATTTTCTTGTGCACAATCGCTATCACGAGGTATGCACTTACCCTTGGAGCAGTTGAGACACCACTGGCAACGTTGTTCTGAATGTGGGTGAGCAGGCCATTCAGCTAAACATTCTGTGCAGGAGGTGTGCTGGTAACAATCATGGTCTTCCAGTAATCTTGCATCACAACGCACACCCACCACACTACTCTTTCCATAACGAGGATTCCGGCAGGTGCTAGGCTCCTCTCCAGTATTAGAGTAACAATAAGATATGTTAGTACCGGAACTTTCATGTACCACACAGTTGGCACATCCAATGACATCACGACACTGGGTTTGGTTTGTATTAAGAGTACAGAGATCAGGTGGAATTTTTATTTCAACCAATGATCCTTGAAGAGTTCCATAATAGCCTCCAAATAAGTATATTGTTGAACCATATATAGCTGAACTGGCTCCAATTTGAGGGGTTATCTCATGACCAACAAGTGTGATAAACTTATCATTGAGAGGAATCCACATGTTGCACTTATAAGAGTACACTAAGAGCCCCTGGTTTGAGTCTAAATGATCAGTAATGTCACCTCCAATTATGACCATATAATCTTGTGTTGTGACTGCCGAATGAAAGGTTCTTGGAGCAGGAAGAGATGCTGGATTAAGGTTTGTCCTACGATCAGGTGGAAGCACTGACCACTTTTTGCGGGTGTAGTCAAGTGCATAAAGATCTGGAAAATGGTCAACTTTATCTACCTTAAAGGAATACCCACCATACACATAAAATGTTTTTGTCCCCTCATGATAGACTGTACTGTGAGCATATATGCCAACTGGTATGGCACCACCTGTCTCCACTTTGCTCCACTGGCCACTAGCTAAGTTGTATTCCCAGACACATTCCAAAAATCCATAATCTGATGAGGCTCCTCCAATCAACACTAATGATTGTGACTCAGCATCACTGCGATATGTTAGAGAATGACCAGCCAGGCGTGGTAAATCAGGATGAGGTTTCAACTCCTTCCAACTTCCCGATTCAATATTAAATTTCCAAAAATCATTTAAAAAAGTGGTCTCATTCAACCCCCCATAAACATACATCTCCCTCTGATTTGAAACATATGCAGCTGCATGGAAATATCTACTTGGAGGAGGCTGCCGTCCAGGCTGTACATTAACAGTAACTTGCTGCCAAATGTTACTATTGTTGTGCGTGTCAAACTGCTGAATGTCATTAAGTGGACCTCTTGATAATGAATAACCACCAAACACCCACAGTGAACCACGATGATCCACTATAAGAGACTGTCCCATGCGTGGCAGAACAGTTGCTAGGTGGGAAAGAGAGGATGCAATCTTCTCTGGTGCAAACAGCTGCGTTACCACCACCTGCAAGCACACAAGTTATTACACAATTTTAAAAAGCAAATAATTATTTCTTTTATATCTTTAATTTTTTTTTTTTGTAAACTAACAAGTTTAGAATTAGTCTTGGATGATAACATGACAAGTGAATTTCCTTATGCAAGACCAATAAAATATTTTAGAAAATTAGATTCTTAACAACTCAGTGAAATATTAACCCTTTCAGGGTCCAAGGCCCAAATCTGGAGTCACGCACCAGTGTCCAAGAATTTAAAAAAAAAAAAATTGTTATTTTTTCTTATGAAATCGTAGAGAATCTTTTTGTGAAGGTAATAAAACAAAAAGTACGAAATTTGGTGGAAAATTGACGAAATTATGCTCTCGCGAATTTTGATGTGTCAGCGATATTTACGAATCGGCGATTTTGCCGACTTTGACTCCCATTTTAGGCCAATTACATTATTCCAATCAACCAAATTCTTAGCTATTTCACTAGTATTACTTCTATTCTATCGATTGAGCACAAGAAATCGCCAAGTCAACTGTTTCAACTACAAAATAAAGTGATCGGAAATTGTTAATTTGGCCAATTTAACACAAAGTTCAAAATATTCCAATTTCAAAATAGGGTCCAGAATGAACAATGTAGGCATTCCTGGCACTAAACTAACATTTCCTCTGTTCATTAGTTATGTTTTGAGGCTTTACAAATAAATTCCATTTTGATTTTTTATTCACATAATGAATTTTTATTCACACCAAACAATAGAAGATTTACTGTTATGCAATACTGTAATAATTGTATAAATATCATCACCATATTTGTGAATGTATATTAGACCCACCAGCTGACTTGTATTAGACGTGTGAGGTTGCTTGTTTACTCTTGAATATCGGCAAAAATTTAACATTTCCGCTACTTTGAGCTCAGTTTCAAGCCATTTCCAATGCTAAAACCAATCAAAATCATCTCTATTTCTGTAATATGTCTTCCATTCTATCAAATGAGACCAAGAAATCGCAAATACAACTATAAAAAACATACGAAAAAACACTGCAAAGTTGCTGTTTTAATCGAAAAATCATGATTTCATTTTTTTTCTCTCATTATACAGTGTGCTGCAGGATCTGTTTTATGTGGTGCACACATACCACATAGATGTATTCTCTCATATCTAGGCCCAAATGTACCACTCACAGTTTATCAGAGTGAGCTGAGCTCATGGCGT